TCTGCTCTGCTGTAGGCAGAAACCTGTAGGACAGAGACCTGGACAGGACAGAGACCCTGCCCTGTCAGTCATGTTAGGAGCTATCAACCTTCACTGCTTCCTGACAAAGAGCTTTATATTAAAAAGCTGTGAAGTGTAGTTGCAATGAGAAGGGAGATGAAACGTTATGAAAAAATGAAATTTTATCATTGATAAAATCAATGATTCAATGAGGAACTCAATGCAAATATTAACTTTGTTCCCCCTTCTACTAACACATACCTAGCTTTGAGCTACAAATCCCTGCAGTCTTGGATGAAATCTTCTAAATTATTGAAGTAATTTGAGTGTTCTTTCCCTTTGTGGTGCAATAAGGAGTTAAATATTCCACATGCTACCTTACATAAGGAAAAAGCACATTGCTGGCATCCTGTGCTGATTTTTTCTCCCCATTTTTTCCTATAGCCTGTAGTCAGGTTTGACCAGAATCAGTCAGATCCTTGGTATATGGAAGTGACTCAGTTAGAAGTGAGATTAAACTCCTTCAGGTGCCTTAATCAAAATACTTTCTCTCATACTCCCAGAATAAGGTTACAAAGCTCCAGCATCTGTCCACGGGATGATTTATTCCGATAGATGGAAGGCAGGAATTGCAACTCCCTTTTCATTCTCGCATACCTTCCACCCTTCTCAAGGATCTGAAAAAATACTAGTTTTTCAACAGCCATTTTATGTTTTCTTTAAAAAGGATACTCTTGACTAATGTACTCAGAATGGGATAATAATGACAACTTGACATACGTAGAAGCACTTAATACAATTCAAAATGACAAGTTGTCAAAAAAATATAATGGACAGCCAGAGGTGGTGTACCTGATGTGGAGAGAAGACCATTAAGTGTCTTGAAATTTAAACTGGGCAGCCCTGCTGTGAAACATGCTTGAAAGCCCCATTGTCTGCTGGGTTGCTTCTGGGCCTTTAAAAGTGCATGAGGGTAGATAAAGGAAAGGTGTTAATTTAAACTAGAATTCCTGAATAGCAACACAAGTAGACAAACTCACAGATAGGCCATCACCTCTAATGCAGCTGTTATTTCTCTGATGCACTGTTGTTCTTTTGTTCTTGCTTGAAGTGGAATGTCTCAGCTCTGTTTACAGTGTCCAGCAATGCCACTTTTGTGACTGGGACCTGGAGGAGGTGGGTGAAGTTCTTGGCTACTGACTGCTTTGCTTAATGTCCCAGGTAATTCCTTAAGGTTATATCTGATTCTTGTTTTTTCAGTCCATGTTGGGCAGCAGCACTAATTTCCTTTTAACCTTTTCACCTCTTTCTTAGTCAAAGAACACACCTTGTCTCCTCTAGACACTGATCCTTGAGGGTGCATGCATGCTTATACCGTAATAATAAGCGGGCATGACGACAGATGAACTCAAATATGTGAATCCCTTTAAATGGAGTGCTAGAAATATGAGAAAATTTGGGCTTGCAACAGGCTGCTTAAATGTGAATGAAGATGCTGTCTAGCTTTAGTGTACGTATGGAAAAAATGTGCGTGCTTTGTCCTAAAACCAGCATAAGTGCTTAAAAGAGGAATTCAAAACACAACCCAGAGCTCTAGTTCCAGCTGCTCTAATGAGTAAGAAGAATCTCCCTTTCCTCTGTATCTGCAATTAATTTATATTGTAATGTTTTTACAACACAAGATATGGGCTCTGGTGCCTGCAGGCAGCGAGGCTATCTGTGGGATTGTAGTCATGCTCCTGAAATAGAGACGTTCACTTTCTCAACTGGTATCAGCCTGAGCTGTTGATGAAACACTTCAACACAGCTCAAAGCAAACCAAGCCTTGAGAAGAGTTTATGTGACTGTAAAACAACTCTTTGAATTCAGATTGATCCTTTCTATCTGGAGCTAGAGTAAGTTGTCTAGAATAGAACAGGGTAAAAAAAGGAATTTTCAAAGGATCACTGAAACACTGATAAGGCTAAGTTGCAATGTGGAACAACTTCTTTCTGTGAAGGGGCAGAAAAGGGAGCCTGAAGCAATGACATTTGTAATGTTGGTCTCCCAGTTGTTTCAAGTTAGAGGGAGAGAATCCAGTTCTTAGTGTGCAAGTGATATTTACTGTCTCTCCTACAGCAAAAGTCCTTTAAATAACAAATGCACATTTAGACTGGCTTTGATCTCTTGAAGCAATATGATTAGTTTAAAGATAAGTTTGGGTTTTAATTTCCACCTTCTTCTGTCTCTAAAGTTTAGGGAATTATGGTCATCTTATTTTTTTTTCCCTAGGTGATTAATTTTAAAATGTTTACATGAAAAAGCATCAAAGTTTGTGGCTGCCTGTCACCTTTCCCAAATCCTAAGTATTTATAGATGTCTGTTTCTGGAATGTGTATCTGATTTAAATCTCGAATTCATTTTAGTGAACTCTGAGCACAGCAGTCATTTGAGTTAATTTAGCAAATAAGAATGTGGGTAAGTGTGGGAAGACCTTGTAGTGCTGCTTTTCTTTCCCAGTTACATCAGTCTAATATCAGCTATTCCCTCTCTTTTCAAGTCTCCTTAAAATATCACCATCTCTAGAGCAGGACACATATCCAAAAGTCACAGTCTCAGGGTATCTGTGACAGTTTAGCAGGAGCCTCTGGGTTTCAGTAGGCGGTTTGTCTCACAAGTTAGGGCATGAATGATGCAGCTTAGCCTCTCGCAGAGGAAGATTTCCATTGCTCCATAGCCTTTAAAATGATAGTGGGAGCTTAGTCTATCCTCTGAGGAGTATCTGGACTCTGAGATGGTAAGGAGGAGGAAGCACCTTTACCCACCTGCACAAACTGTTCCTTCAGACCCAGGCTGCTGAGATGGATGGTTAATGGCACAGTTTGAGTTGGTGGGTTGGAGAGCTAGGAATAGGGGGGAAGTCAGGGTGCTGGTCCCTGTACCTTGTGTGTGAAATTGTCCAGCCCACCCATGGAATGACTAGTCCAGATGAAATTACTGTGCTGGAGTCCCTGCCATGTTGCATGTCATCGTGCCCAAGCTTGAGCTGTGGCTTTACACTTTCAAAATGCATACTAGGGCAAAGCAGTTCTGCATCTCCTTTGGCAATGTCTGGAGAAAAATTTTGTATCTGACTTTGTTGGGCTGGCACTTAGCTATGCAGGACATGGACTCACTTCCTTTTCTTACTGCCTGCCTCCACTAGAAATTCTCCTGCACACTGTTTAACAAATCTTTTATAAGGCTGCAGCTCTATGGTCTTGTCCTTCCTCTCCTGACAAAGGGAGGTGGGCCCTTCTCCGGACGGGATGGTTCCCATGTGGCAGAAGACGGGGCTGAGGCATGCTGGGCTTTGCTGATGTAACGGGCTCCCTGCAATTTTCATTCAGATCTGGTTGGCTGTGAGCTGGCAGGGAGCCTCAGCCTCAGATATGCCTCCAAATCAGATGAGGTCATCCCTGCTTTTTTTCCCTCCTGCTTCAGAAGTCTGTTTTGTATAAACGTTTAAGGTCGGAGTGCTAATTTCCACACCACTGCAAATCTCTGGGAGCAGGAACTCCTTTGTCCCTCTCCCAGCTGCACTCTTTCCCAGCACCATCACAGACTCTGCTCTCCCTTTAAAGAGAGAGGAGGAGCAAAAGGAAGATGAATTTACCGCAGTGCATTTTATAATTGATTCTCACATCCAGGTCAGAGGGGAGTGTTTGCTGGCAGGACATTGCAGAGCTTCACGGTCCTAACACGAGTGTAAAGTAGCTCCAGGAAGAAGCTCCAGACCCGGCTGCTGCCAGAAGTGAAACTACTCGCCCTGCCCAGTCGCTTGGTCCCCTCCCCGCCCTCCCACCGTGTGCCGTGCAGCGATTCATCCAGCCAGCAGAGGACGGGGTAGGTTCCCTCGGCTGTCAGTCAGTAGGAGCTGCCCGGTTCGGGACGAGCTGATCGCGAAATAAGGACTGGCCCTGCGGAGAGCAGAGCACGGAGAGCTGGTGTGTCCAGCCCTGGCCCCGTTCCCTGCCTGGAAGCAGCGCCCGCTCGGCATCTTCCTCCCTCCAGCCCCAGTCCGGTTAATCCCGTGTCATCTTCCTCGAAGAGCTGCCTTCTAACTTCGGCGCCGACGCCAGGTCTGCCTGCACGTCGTGGGCAGGATGGGGGTTGCGGCATCCCCTCTCTGCCCCGGGGGCAGCCAGCCCCCTCCTCCTCTTCCTCCCACCGCCGAGCCCCGCGCTGGAATTCCTTTGGCACGGCCTCTTCACCATGTCCTGCCAGGGGCGGAGAACCCTCAACCGAGTGTCTAAGCGGACCGGCCTCAGCTCCGCGGACAGATCCCGGCTCCGGGAGGAACAAGCCCAGCACCACGGACAGATCCCGGCTCCGGGAGGAACAAGCCCAGCACCTCGGACAGATCCCGGCTCCGGGAGGAACAAGCCCAGCACCTCGGACAGATCCCGGGTGCCTCCGGGCTCCCGGCGGGAGGGAGTTGGGGAGCTCGGCGCTCGCTCCGGCCCCGCTCCGTGCCTTGGTGCCCCGGGTTCCTGCGTACTGCAGCTGCGGTAGCGGCACACAGCTCTGCCGAGAAATCTCCCTGCACGCACTGCCACCCACCTTGCTCACGGTGCCAGAAAAGGGCTGGTATTTGGGCTCAGAATCTGTCTTCTGTGGATCGGGATTTATGAGCTTGGACGGTGCCTGGTTACAGTGGTGTATGAGTCTACAGACCCCGAGGTGCAGTACAGAGTTACAAAGAAACCTTGGATGTGTCACGGCGTGGAGGGCTAAAATAAGCCCTATACAACTAGCAAATCCAACCCAGGCCTTTCTGCCTCCCTGCAACCAACTTTATACACACACACACAACCGTGAGATTTCCCTCCTTTCCTCCTCTCTCCATGCTCCTTCCTTCAGTGACGGTAGGATGAGGCATTTTCTTCTATCTTGCTCAGGGTAAAAGCATACCCTGGGGGCATCAACATACATCTGGCAGGGACTGAAAGGTTTTAATCCAGCCTCTACTGCAATCAACAATGGCAAATGAACCAGTGATTCTGAATGTTTATGACATGGTGAGTATGAAACACTACTGACTGGGGGGCAGTGGGGCTGGGTGGGAGTTCATGCTTGGAGGGCAGGCACTGTACAAAGAGGAGCCAAGCACAGATCCCCAGAGAACCTGATTCCCTCCCCCTCCCTCTCTTCCCTGGCCCAAACTCCTCATCTAAGCCTATCATCTTCTCATGTCAGAGATGATGCTGACCCTGATTTTTTGTTTGTTTGTTTAATGTTTAGGATATTGTGCCAGATTACAGGTATTGTGCCAGATTTTCTGCAGGATTTTTCAGGAGCAGCAATGAGTGAGACTTTTTAATTTCCAGTGCTCCACTTAAGGAAGAAAATGTGATCACCTCTGTCTGTGTTAGAGATTGCTGTCCTTTAATTTTGAGTGAAGAAACATTACTAGGCTGTGGAGGTCAGGATTTCAGCTAAGGAGGAGAAACAGCTGTAGAGTTGCAGTAAGGACATAGTTTCTAATAATCTGGATCAATTCGTCATATGCATAGGATTGTAGTTAATAATTCTCTCTGAAGGTTAATTGCAAGAAGAGTAAGAAATTGTCTGGTGAAGTTTCAGCCCAGAAAGGGGCATGGGCACATGCCTCTCAGAAGTATTTCCTGAAAGTTCATAGGGGTAGCAAGTGGTTTTCCTTGACCTCTTCTTGCAAGGGGGAATGTGAGTGGGTGTTTTGTGTGCTAGCAAATCAGAAGGTCCAAATCTTGGCACAAGCTCCCAAAGAGAAGATATCTTGGCACAGCCTATTGGCTTGCTGGTCTGACAGCAGCTTAGGAGAGGCATGTTCACACGAGGAGTGTTTTGATGATTATGTATTTCACCTTTGTTTTTTGATTACCAACTAATGATTAAAAAAATGTAGTTTTCAAATCTTCCACAAATTTAATGAACCTTTCTGGGGAAAATACGACCTTGCAAGGCCCAGTAAGATGCTGACTGAGCTCTGAATATCCAGCTCTAGACCTTTAGGATTACAGCATATGTTTGCTTTTTTTCATCAGGCAGTGACAACTTTTACCAGGAAGCCCACAGAATAGTGTGGGTTTCCCTGTTGGGGAAATCCAGAGAACAGACACCAAAGAGATTAGAAGTGGGTTGCTGTAAAAGTCAAATGTCTTTTTATCACAAGAATCAAGGGATCATTCGTGAACTAAAACAGGTGGGTTGTTTTCTGAGGGAAGAGTGAGTGGTAAGGATTATTTAGGTAGGACTGAATCTGCATTGGTGAGCAGTCCAAAAAGAACAAGTGCAGTGTACTGCCTCTTCCAAAGCTATTACTGGTAAAATTGAGTGAGTTGGTGTAAAATCATTCCTAAGACTTAGGTCTTGAGTGTTTATTGGTCAGTTGCTTAGCAGCCTGAACTGTGAACTCCCCCGAGATATTCTTCAACCAATAGGTTTGGTAACTGGAATAAGTTATGTGTGATAACAAGGGACTCACATTGCACATGCACGCACAAGAGTTCATCATTAATTCTCTGAGGAAAATAAAGGAGTTGTGTTATAATATCCACTGACTTCCTTGCAATTTTTTTAGTTTGTTCTGCAGCAGACTATAGCCTAAGCTTTCCTCTGTCAGCCACTGTTGATCCACCCCAAATCAGTGAATGTTTCATCACTGAGCTGAAGAGATCCAAATACTGGGTGGATAAAAGGTCTTTACCTTTTTATCTTTGATTGATTGACACCAGACACAAAGCCTTAAGTAATTAAGGCAGAAGGAGCTTGCTGTTCATGATCACTGTGTTCTGAGATGGATACCCAGACACAGTGAACAGAACTGAGGTCATGATTTTTCTTCAGACTGAGTAGTTTTTGCTGCTTAGCAAACCATGGAAATCTTCATGTGTAAGTATTAACTCCATGGGTTAACCAGTCGTACACAGAAACCATTCTATTTTCATACAGCATCTGTTTGACTACCACTGAGTCACCTGTAGCTCAAATCCTACATTATGACTATTGAGACTCCATGCTTTTCCATTGCTGCTGTGATTTTAACACCATGAAGCCTGGAATGTAGCCATGCAAAATCTGCACTTTGTTACACTGTGGTGGGGAATTGCGGGGGAACTGGGAAATGAGCACATTTGCTTGAATGACTGTTGGAAAACTAGCCTCAGTGGAAAAAACCCAACAACAACAACAACAAAAAAAGACAGCTGGGAACACCGATTAACTGGATGTAAAGCTCTGCTTTCTTGACAAAGAACATGACCCCCGTATGGAAACTGGAAGCACTTACACTGCAGGAAAACCTATCCTTAGGGCAGAAGTTCAATTATGGACTTTGTGCAGCTATGAAAGACCCACTCTGTGTAGTCTTACGTATTCAAAAATTATAGCCATTTATCCTTTTACCCATTGGATATGTAGCAGGCTTCTTTAGGAATAAAAGTGCTTCTATTTAACGAGGTGTTTTGCATAAATTGCTGAAGCAGGTAGATCTATTTGTAGGCTTGTTTTCTTCAGCATAAAATAATGGAGCAAAAATCACTGGGTATTCCAAGTGTTCTGAATATTGACATCAAAAGCAACCTTTCTTCGCCACCAGCACACGGGGTGGTTGGGTCCTGTCTCTTGCCAAAGAGCTTGTACACAGCTGGACACTTGTAAAACACACAGGACAGGTGGACTTTGCTGCTCAGTTAGGACAGTTTAAAGAGTAGATATGTAGCATGCTGAACTCTGGTTTAATGTGTAAGTGTGAACACAGAATAACAACATGGATCATCTCTTTGCCAGTCTGAATTCAGCTCTTGCATGGGCTTAATCTAAGCCAACTGCCAGTTGGAGACCTGCAAGAAATAACTAGGTCTGTAAAAGCTGTGACAGAGTTTGTACAGATTAGTCAGTTACCACTTTGCCTTCAGAGGGACAAATCAAATTCCCTTTCATAACTTGTAGCTCTCTTTCTTCCAGTCTACCTCAATAAGCTGTTTATCATGGAACAGATCACTTAGATCACAGGAACAGGGTTGACTTTTTTTAGTCAGGATATTATCCTGTTCCCTCAACCCTTTAAGTCTTTGTGGCTTATGTTGGAATAGTTTATTTAGTCACTGTACATTAATAAATGCTTCCTACTTCAGTCAGGCAGAAGAGTAACTGCAATTATCTTCTGGGTTTAAATCTTTAACGAGCTAAATATATTCCACTAGAAATTGTTTGCTTGGCAGAGATTCAAGTTTGGGGGCTCTCATATTTTCAGCTTATTGCATAGCACATTCATGCTATCATATTAGAGGCAAAGATACTCATATCACTGTTGTCCCTCTTTTATTACAGCTGAGGTTGTCATGACTTTCCCCTGTCTTTGAATCTGATAACATGAAAAACTGTTTGATCTAGTGGCATTTTTGCTTACTTCTTCTTCTGGGGAAAATGAGCCCCTGAGACGTGCTGCAGAGGAGAATGAGAGCCCTGGTTAGCAGGGAGCCAGCGAGCAGTGATGTAGGGTCTGTTTGAACGAGAGCAGGTCTCTCTTACTCAGCCTTGTCCCGCAGTTATTCCATTGATTCTACTGACATTATTTGGCATTCCCTCTGGAGAGGGAAATAATGCTCAGGTCACTGTGGATGGACTGAAGGGAGAGAGATGCTTTGTGCCTCTGTCTTCAGTACATAAGGAGCCTTTGAGCCTGTTACAGAAACAGCAACAGGATTGCAAGCAAAGCACTTCATTCTGTGAAGTGATTGTCTTAAAGCATTGACTAGATCATGGAGCATGTCATTATCTCTCTGGAGTAAAGAATAAGTCTAGTTACTCAGGAAAATGTGAACGTGTTTGTGCTTGCTGTAGGTGAAAGTCTCAGATGCTCTTAGCTCACTGAGTCAGAAGAGTGAAAAGTCCTGGTGCAGGTGGTGGCCCCATCTCTGTGCTGCTTGTTAGGTGTTTGTGAGCTGCTTTGTGTGGAGGAGCACAGTATCACCTGACTCTATTTTGTATTCCAGGAAGCCACCTGAAGAGAAATGGGAATTTTTTGTCAAGTAAATTGATAGCTGTGAAATCTCTTGCTGTGATGAGCTGAGCGGTTGCTCTAGGTCAATAGTAGAACTTGTGGTCTTGAAAGATTAGGTAATGGACAGTCAGTAGGATTTTTTTTTTTTCTCCTTCATATGTTGACCACATTGAATGTTTTTAACAAATAGAGAGCAAAAAGCAAAATGGTGCATTTGGGAGATTTTAATTAAATTCTGGCAACTCCTTGGCAACTCATAATATATATATATATATATATATATATATATATATATATTAAATTAAATACTTTGATTTTCCTTTAGATATTTGTGAATTATCTCTGGCCAAAATTATTAGTCAAATCTGAATCATTTCAGTTCTCCAAAACACACTGTTCACTCAAAAGTTTGCCATGTTCTTGGAAGGCCATGGTAGGTGTACCATATTCTTATTTATTCTGTGACCAGTCACAAAACTTGTAAGAATTCCCTCTTCCGTGAATAAGAACTGGCTAGGGAAAATCTGGGGTGTTTTAATCTTCTTCACAGGCTTGTTGTAGAGGTTAACTCAAAGATAAATCCTAAAATTCCTGAAGGAAAAGGGGGAGATTTTGTGTTTAGCATTTTACTTTACCACTGACTCTTCATTTATCCAGATTCTTATTCATTCCTCTGTCTTCAAACCGTATCAAGCACGGGGTACTGGACAACAAAGCAGAGTGGTGAGTTAACAGGGGCCTGGTGTCTGGAAATTGGTTCCCCACAGTGCTATAGCATATCCCACAGGAGTGGGATAAATGCTCTTTTTTTCTAGGAGTAGTCAGTGCTGCTCAAAGGTGGTAGTGTGAGGGATCAGGCAGCCCTCAGGTGCTTGTTTTATGTGTCTTCCTGGAGCTTTGAGTTGGCCTTCTGTGCTGTTTTTTTTGTTTGGTTTGGTTGGGTTTGTTTGTTAGGACTGTGTTTAGATTATTCGACTATGCATACTCTGCGTAATAGGTTCAGGGTTCAAAATCACTCTTGTGTCATATGATGAT